ACTTTGCCCGTTACTTATTATTATTTATTTTGATATCTTTCAATATTATATTTAACAGAAATAAAACGTTATTTTTTCAAACTTTTTTTGTTAGTAACTTTTTACAAAAGTTAAATAATAAAGAGCATACGGTTAATTGTTATCGCGCTATGCGAATAGAAAGAAAATACGAAAGTTTTTTTCGTCATGATACAATTAAGAAATCTTCATTTAAAAACGACGAGTCCTACATGAAGTGACACGCAAGTACCAAGTTCTTGTAAAAACAAAAAAAATTTTTCACAAGTAAATTAGATATCATCGTATTACTGTAAAACTAATCAGATTAAGAAATATACTTCTGCTTAGATTCCACCCAGAGAATTTTTTTAGAAAATTTTTTAAAAACCAATAGAACAAACTTACGCGTATCCTGGGGTGCAAAGACTCATCTGTACAACTGAACACTGTGACAAATTTAGGTAATGAGTGAATTTAAACTTCAAATAACAAAAGCCAAAAACGCTGGTCTATTTATATTAAGAAAAGGAAAAAGAAGAAAAAAGGAAAGGAAGGGAAAAAAGTTTAGAGTGGGGCCAGAAACTATTGTTCAAGGAGAGGGAGATAAAGATCTAGAAACCGTTCCGTACCGCTTTGTTTATTTAAACCATTTTTTTTGCATCTTAATATAAATCATCTCAGATACTAATCTTTTGTAATGAGAGCGTTCCGAATCCAATATTTTTGCATTATCCCAATCTATCACATGGTCTGTGTCAAATCTGTGATTTGAGATAACAGAGTAAGAATTAGCTGGTTTTTTAAATCATTAATGTGTTCTTTTAAACGCGTTTTTAGTTTTCTTTTCGTCTGACCGACATACGAATAATCGCAGTCCTTACAATTAATTTGGTATACCACATTCGAAAGTTCATCTTTTTTTATCTTATCTTTCCCCGTTTTTATAAAACTGTTCAAGCTGTTAATAGGTTTCATTTGTATACCAATTCAAATTGAAATTTATCAAGAGTTGCATTGAATTTCTCAGACGTTCTCTTTAAGTAAGGAATAGTGGAAAATTTTTTCTTTACAATAGAAATGTCCGTATTAATGTTGTAACATTATGTTCATTTATGGTATCAAAATTCTTTTTTTTTTATAACGTTTTAATTCTATTGTTTATCGTTTTAAATAAAAATTGTAACGGATATCCATTGCGAAGGAGAGTAATAATTAGAGAATTGATGTTAATGTGATGGAATTTTGGATGGGAAAAAAATAGAATTTTGTCCAATAACCCATTCACAACACCTTTCTTGTGTATAGTAGGGTGATTGGAGAAGAAATTGAGAAATCTCCCAGAGTTAGTAGGTTTTTTGTACAAGTCGAAAATAATTCTACCATTATCGCTCAACAGTTTGACATCTAAAAAGTTGATACCTCTGCCATCGCCATAATCCACAGTAAATTTAATGCGCTCGTGGTACGAATTGAAGGAATCTAAAATGTTGGTAATAAGATTAATAGGAGCCACAAGCACGATATCATCAACATAACGAAAATAAAAAGGTATATGCGTGGTGAGAGTATTAAAAATATCATTCTCCAAGTCTTGAATTACCAAGTCAGCCAAAATTGGCGAAAGAGGCGATCCCATGGGCAAACCAAAAATCTATTCGTAAAATTCGTCATTAAAAAGGTGGAATGTCTTGAAAAAGGTGGAATTCAAAATGAGATGGTTCTTTTAAACTCTTGAAATAGAATAATAACTTTTTAACGAAGGACGAGCGATGGTTAAAACCTGTTGAAGGTTATTCAGGATCGTGACCTTGACAACATATGTCAAGGTCAAGATTATCGGAGCTGCTTCCGTTATTCTTAATATTTACCCATGAAATTCTTCATTATCATCGGAATCTTCATCTATCTGTCTTATTTAATTCTCCTTTAATTCACTTTCATCTAAATTATCTGTTGTCATAGTTACTCGCTTATTATTATTATTACTCTTATCTTGGTGTTTATAAAATTGATTTTCAAAGAAAATAACATCCCGACTTATAGTTATTTTATAATATATATATTGTACTTGGATTAATTAGTCTATATTCTTTGATATCTTCGTTGTATCCTATAAAGATAAATTGTTTGGATTTTGCATCCCACTTATCTCTTATTTCCTTTAAAACATGTGTCATGGCTAGATCCAAAACCTTTCAAATGACGTAATTTAGGTTTTCTACTCCATACTTCTTCTGCAGATTTACCAAATAACGCCTTTGAAGGTGATCTATTGACTAGATACGCTAGTGTAGATTTCGCTTTTGCCCAACATTCTTTGTCCAAATTAACATCGAGCCTCATAGTGCGCGCCCATTCAACTAACATTCTGTTTGCCCTTCCCACCAATCCGTTTTATTGTGGATTATAAGACACTGTTGTTTGATGTCTTATTCCTTGAGACCTGAGAAATTCTTTAAATTCACAGTTTATGCATTCTCTACCATTATCTTATAGCTTTAATCTTTCGCCCTAACTGTTTTTCTACAAGTGCCTTAAATATTTTAAAACAATTTAATACTTTACTCTTACTTTTGAGAAAATAAACATGTACTTTTCGTGAATGATTATCTATAAAAATAAGAAAATATCTTGCACTGCCTAACGATTCACAGACATTGGACCATATAGGACATTAGACCAGAATAAATAAGATCCAAGACATTTCTTGCGCGTTTATATTCGTATACAAAAGATTGTTTGTGTGGTTAAATGGTTATCTAAAACGCAAATTTTACATGGTTGTTCGGTAATTATTATTTTATCGAGTCCACTTCCACGATTTGCTTTTAGAAGCTTCATTCCTTTACGATTCAAGTGTTCTAACCTCCGATGCCATAGGTGATGATTATCTTGATCATCTTTAGTTGTTACTGCCATTATAGGTTTGTTTGTGTCGCATGTTTCAACATACTTCTATCTCTTCTAACTGTAACTCCTACTCATTCTAACGAGCGCTTTTGAGTGAGTACGGTTAAAGGAAGCAAGAGCATGTTGAAGCATGCGACGCGAACAAAATATTTTTTGTTCAATATTTTTGAATTGATAGACTCCATCTTGTCGCTGATCCTTAACAATCAGATTATTTTCTTCATCAAGTATATTACACTCTTTTTTCTTGAATATTACTTTATATCCTTTCTTGGTTATCTTTCCTATAGATAAGAGATTTGCAGCAAATTTCAGGATATAGAGCACATCTTCTACTTTCACCTTTTCAGTCTCTTTATCGTTTGTAACACATACAGTTATAGTTCTCTTTTTGTGGACATCTAATATTTGATTATTTGCTGCCGTTACAGATTCCAGTATAATTTTCGACTTCCTTCATCCAGTCTCTTCTTTTTAACATGTGAAAAGATGCGCAAAAATCGAGATATCATCCTGTACTTTTTATCGGCTCACTGGTCGCTAAAGTGAGAAGTGAGCTTTTAGTTGCGTATTTTTCTCTTGTACATTATGACCTTCAAATGTTCTAGGCTTTGGTTTTGCTCTGCATTTTGCAGCAACATGCCCAATTTTTCCACAGTTGAAACTCGTGTACTTCTTCTTGATAAGGTTTCTATCACGATTTCCATCTCGATTTCCATTTTGAACATGCTATTTAGATTTAGAATAGAGTGCAGTTTCTTCTGATTCTGATTTAACTTTTATTGGTAATTTTGTAATAATTTCTTAATTGTATATATCTCCTGTTATTGCTATCCCCGAATTTTCGAGCTTCATTATTGGAGGATTTATACTTCTCTGATAATCCTGAGAGTAGAAGAGCTCCAATCATTTCTTTTTCTGTTGTAATTCCAATTTGTTTGAGTTGATAAGCAGCACTCATTATTTTATTTATATACTCTTCTACACTTGTGCATTCGGATAACTTGGCTGATGTTAAGGATTTCAATAGATCTATCTTTCAATCCTCCATCTTCAAAAGTTTGAACCAATTTATTCCACGCGTCATTCGGAGAAGTAGTTTCTTGTATGTGTAATTACGCTTGTCGAGGAAGAGAATGATTTTTGCCCTCGCCTTGTTAATTTTGCCAAATCGTTGGTATATTTTTCTTTTCCTTCAATATATTCCCATAGATTCTCACTCTGTAATAATGTTCGCATAGCAAATTTTTAGCTAACGAAATTTTCTTGGCCTTCCAGCTTCTTGAATTGAATATTTGCTATAATTTATGTCTTCACACACATATAGAAAACCGGCGACTTTTTCGTATGATATTATCGTAATTATTATATAATGTCTTCTCAATACTTTTATCGTCCTTCCTAATATCTCT